GGGTTAAAGCAAACATGTTAAAATACTAAACAAATTTTAAAGATTATAAATAAAATATTAAACAGATTTAAAGATTTTAAAAACTATGCAAAATATACGATTATCAGTATAAGCAAGAATAGACATAATTAACATTGTATTATCATGTGATAAAAAAAGTTATCCAGTGAAGAAGCTATATCTCTGAATCTCTTCACCATGATGGATGAGTACATGATTGTTAAGGCTATTCATGGCCTTAAATCTATTACCACATACTGTACATTGAAAAGGTCGATCTAGAGAATGCACAGCAGCATGGTTCTTGAAATTTGTGCCTTCATTAGTTGCATATGGACATCTGTTGCAATTAAATTTAAATTTGGGAAATTCTGATTTATGATGCCATATTCTATGCTTGGTTAATGTTGATCGAGCAGAAAACCATTTGTAGCATGTCCTGCATACAGCACCTACTGATAAACAAATAGTTTAGTTATAAACCATTCAGTAACTTGATAATAAACATAATTACAACTAAACATAAAAATACCTAAGAAAGCTTTTAAAAAATTACAAGTAAAAATTTTAATTCTTTTCACAACAAAATATTTCTAACAGTATAAATCTATTTGTTACTGTACAAAACCATGAAAAGTTCAAATATGAAACAGTAAAAACTTTGTGGTAATATATGTATTGGCTTGATTTTTTATACAGTACAAAGTCTTTAATCCGGACTCGTCGGGAATTCGGCGATTCCAGATTAGGGGTTTTTCCGGATTATAGATCATCAATATAAATCCGGTAAGATGGCATGCAGAAATTATAAAATTAAAATTATGAAACCGTAATTTATGAATTAAAGAGCAATTATGATCTAAAGGGTATCAAAATTTACACACACACACACACAAAAAAAAAAAAAAAAAGCTTAATATTTGTTTACTTTATTAAACATTTCTTTCAATGTAAGTTGTTTAAGTTGCTTTGCTTTTTTTTTGCTAATACTTTTCTTTAATCTATAAACAGAATAATTTCTTGTTCAATTCACTGTCAAGTCCTTAATTGTTTCGAGATAAAACTGGCAATCGAAGTTTTGCATTTTCAATAACCTCTCGGTAATTCTCACTATCGGGGCAGTACATCGAAACATGCTTTCGCTTGTAGATTCTTTGGGAGCTCCAGAATCGGAAACTCTTTTTGACATAATCGAAAGTTCAAGCTTACTTTTTATAAAATTGCTCTAACAGTCTGCAAAAAATAATAAGCCGGATCCAATTAGAAGATTAAGCTGCAGCATTAACGGAAATAGATAATTTTAGCCTACTTTATGCTGTCCGTTATACATTAAACGCGCATTCATAAACCTATTATGCACATGCATAAAGGTATTATGCGCATACGTAAACGCATTATGCATTTACGCATGCGGAGAAAGTTTGTAGCTTTGAGGTCCGGATTATAGATCATTCCAGATTATGGATGTCCGGATTAAAGACTTATAATAATTATAATAATATATTGTAATGTAATATAACTTTTAAAATTATGAACCATATTTACATCTAAAACTGTTTAAATTCTTTCCAAGATAATTCACAATCACAGATGAACAGAAAATGAAAAAAAAAAAATATTCTGAAGATTATTACAGTAATCATATAATGTCCTTTGGAGTTCAGTTAGAGACCTCACAGTGATTGACAAAATATAAAAAGTACATAAAATACATAATAAAATTAAAAGAAGTGAAAATACACAATAGAATTTCAGAAATTTTCAAGCAGCAAATAAAACTTAGAATGTATTTCTCAGCTACGCAATAGAATACATTTTAATATTATCAGAATTATAATAATTCCTACAGAGAATGCTCTTATGAGCAATTCAATTTTTTATTACAAATAGTTTGTTAAAATAACAGCTGTTTCGCTTTAAACACATAAACTGATAAGAACTGGATTCTTAACAATATTCTAATTTTTGTCAAAAAAGAAATCATCACTGTAAAATATGGCAAAAGGAATACGGCTGCTTGATTCAACATAATTTCATGATCACAGGTATTTAAAAGTTTCATGATTGCATTTAATTTTAAAATAATGAATGGAAACAAATCTATTAACATACAAAATTAATAGTGCATAGGCATTTATCAGAAATCATTACAAATGTATTATTTTAGTTTGAATGCATAATATACAGAAAGCCTAAACAGTAGCAAAAATCATTTCTTGAAATCTAATTTTCCCCCCTTAATATCTAACTTTTTTTAATTCAGTTAATCTCAATGTTTTTAGATGCACTATGTATCTTTTAAAATGTTTGCTGAATACACTATGATCATAGTGTATTCATGTTATATATAGACACAATAAAAAGTCTGAAATCTGAAAGCCTGATATTTGAAATGATGTAATAAACTTCCAGACCATCAGCATTTTTTTAAAATTTTATTTTACAGGCTAGGTTATTGTAGCATAATATTAAATAAAACAGGTGTACTGTAAAAGTGCATCATTGAAAATTCTTTAGGTATCCTCATAACAGAAATTGAAAGGGATAAACTTTCACCTCTGAAAAATTTACTGCAACATGAAAAAAAAAGCAATCTGATCGAGCACAGGAGTAAGTTCAGTTGGAGAGGGAGGTGGGCATGGCTTTCAGACAGAATGTTGCGTACATGATCTTGAGAAGCAACAAGGAGTCTTAGATTACTGTTTATTCAGCAGCAAAAATTTGAGGAAAATACATCAAGCAACAAGGTTGTGAGTCTAACTTTGCAAATAAAGTCTAGCATTAAAATAATTAACTCATTAACTTTCAACACAGTGGAGATCATCAGATGATGCCACCGGTTTTGTAGTTTTGTATTTCGCTTTCACTTCCCAGGGAATTACAATATAAATTGACATTAACCACGACCACACTTCCAGCCTTTGAATATTTGTGCAGGGAGAGGTATACTTTTTTTTTTATCTAACCTAAATAATAAATACCAAAATGTATTTGTTTGGAGTGGGGTGAAGCTCATACAGGTTTTCTTTTGTTGGCAGAGTAGCAGGGAGAACAAAAAGAATTACATTCCAAAGAACTTAACATAGTAAATTGCACTCTTCCTTAGCTACGTAATTTGATCCAGCTCATTATTTTTTGCAGGCTTTTATTATTATAACAACTATCTTTTCATAATTAAAGTTCCAAAAGCACATTTGATTCTTGCCTTCTATAGCAACTTCAATTCAGGCTTCAGAAGAGTGCGATTCCCAAATTACACAAAACAATAACTTTAAAGTTTTCCAATGCAATGACAATGGCTAGTCACCAGCCAATAGTTAGTGAAACTTTGGTACTTGCTGCTATGCTAGTGTCAGCGCAAATATTATCACACTCTTACCAGCACCTCAAATACTCTGGTTAAGGGAAACAATGCATGTAAAGCCATAAATAGTACCACTTATGGGTGAAATGCAAAAGAAAAAAAATTTGGCAGGCCCTGGCCTGTAAAAGATAGTGCAAGAGGAGCACTGTGTAATATATAAGAAGTAGTGTCGAGGATGAAGCAGAAGTTAAATGAATGGCTGGCGGTAACCACATGGTGGTCACAATAGACAGCGAAATTTGTCACATGGTTTTAAATCCAGAAAATTTCATTACTGATAGTGAGGAAAGTGCTAAGAGGTTTTTGAGAATGAAAATATTTTGATTGACAATTTAGCATGAATTCTTAACACAACAGCTTCAGGATTTGAACAGTGGAACTTTGTAGATGAACAATAAATTATACCTATATATATATATATATATAAATGATGCATTAAAAAAAAGAAATATTTAATAAAACAAACAAGTAAATATTGAACTTTTTTAGTAAATTTTGATTCCCTCAAGCTCATAAATGCCTCATTATTTCATATTTTTAATTTTATAATTTCTACATGCTATTTTCCTAGAGTTAACGGTGAAGTCTCAATAAATCTGGATCCTGTACTCTGTAAAGTGCGTGTGTGTGTGCAAGCATATAAATCAAGCATGGTTTAGTTTGTAATGATCATACTGCATTCAAAAAACATTTTTTTTTAAAAAATTAGTTTATAAAACACTTATTTTTTAAAGTATTATCATGTACGTATATACATGTGTGTGTGTGTGAGTGCGCTTACATATATCCATTAATTTTCATCTTACTTTTAACATACACATCAAAATCTATAATATTAAATGAGAATCGAATAATTCTTTTAATAGAAATATAAATCTAAAGAAGAAACTTGCAAAATAATTTATATTAACTGGAACACAATGATATTTTTAAACCATTATAGATGCTTAGTTATTCAGAATGTACAAGCAAATAATTGTAGGTAACTGACACTAAAGCCTACTTAAACACAACTAATTCCACAAAATTCTGTCTTTTAAGCTTAAACTTAAAACAGACCTTTTTTAACGGTTCTTTATCAAAAACCTTACTTCCTGTTTATATTTATTTAATAATCTAAATTAATATATTTCCCTATTTTTAAATTACAGTTATGAAAGATAATACAAGTATAACAGTTCAATAGCAAAACAAAATACATCTTGAAAATACAATTGCAAACAAAAATCTAAGCCATTATTACAAGATGAAACTTCAAACTGAGCAATAAACATAAATGTTTTTCTCCGCTTGATGTAAAAAATGTGACAAATTTTTAAAAAAGAAGAGAGAAAAATAAAACTTAATAATAATATCTGAAAGGACAGAGTAGAAGCAAAAATAACAAACTTACAAATGAATAATCAATAATCTATTTTTATCAGAAATGCATAACACCTCATTCAAACTGTTAAAATGAACAAATCTTGTGTTGAACCAAATTAAAGTGAGTATTCCTAAAAGTTACCTTCAGCATTAAAAAAATACAAACAGATTTAATGACGAGGCATAACGTGATGCACAAGAAGTTTTTCCCCAACATGAATAACTATATGATTATTTAAACTGCTAAGTGCCTTGAAACCATTTCCACAAAATCGGCATTTATATGGACGATTAAGTGCATGCACGCCTTCATGAGTTTTGAGACTTGAACTAGCATTAGTAGCATATGGGCATTTGTCACAATTATATTTGAAAACTCCAAGTTCAGACTTATGGTGCCACATTCTATGCTTCATTAAAGTAAATTCAGATGTGAACCATTTCTTGCAAGTTCTGCAAATAACATCTGAAAGGAAACATGCATAAATATTAACATTTTTTTATTAAAATGTACTATCATATTAAACAGTCAATAAATCAAAACTGCAGTGCACTGTCAATTACTATACATGATTCAGTTCTTTTTTTCCAAATTCAATTAAAAGTTTCATAAATTAAATGAAAATTTTAGGCAACACTAATTTATCACAGCGTGGGAGATTAAGTCAATCATTAAAAGAGGAAACTGTGACCCAAGTATATCCAATAAATAGAATATTTTTATAAAAAGCAAATTACATGCATTTCTCAAAAACATAAAAATCATTGCAAAGACAAAATATGGAAGTCAATTTTCAGCATATACAAAATTCTCAAAATAAAATATTTTCATAATTTACTACAATCAAATAAACTTTAACATAAATACAAAAATATTAAAATCTGAACTTCAGACCTATCACAATACTTCTGAGTTGCTATTTATGGCAAAAAGAATCATCCAGAACTCATTTTCAATACATACAATAATTTAAAAAATTTCACAAAATTGCAAAATGCTCAAATTATTCTATTCAATTATAAAAAAAAATTAAAAATTTCAAATTGTAATTATTTTGAGCTTTTTGTTCTAATCAAAATATCTTAATCAATATTTATTTAGCTTTCAAGGTTCATCTTTGAATTTTTTATTTCGTAGTCTTTAATCTTAATATAAAAAGGTTGTTCTATCAACCTTGGAACTTGATTATTTTGGGGGAAAATACATAAATCTGCTTACCTGAAAGGAGAGGGGAAAGGAAAAAAAGAAGATATTAAAAAACTTGTAGCTAAAGTAGTACAGATAGGCAGATAAAAAGTGTAAAATATAGCAGCTTCTGACAATGCTTTAAGATTTTCAAAATTTCAAGTTATTGTTTCCCAAATCACCACATGATTATAGGGGGAAAATATAAAATAATAATCTGAGACACACAGCATCTTAATTTGCATATATCTATTCATTTATGAATTTTATTTAGTTCTACTATATTTGTTATGCTCAGTAATATATTTGTTTTCAATTAATGTTCAGACACATTTTTAGAACAGCTTGCACGAAGATACAATCTTCTGCCAATATGCACTAACTTAACATTAAATAGATAGGAAGAGACTGATACTTGAAAAATGTGGCCAGAATTCAAGGAATTATGGTAAACATTTCTAAGGAAAATGCTTTGTACTTCAGTCATGATTGCAATACATGCACAATACACACTTTTTAAACAATCAGTATTTTGATTATGGGTTAAACGTATGTCAAGGATGTAGGACGTTGAAGAAATTATCAGTACAATAATATATTTCACAATAGCATATATTAAACACAAATTGAAATGTAACAACAATTTGCTTTCATGTAAACAAATATAAACTAAAACGTAATCTGTAATCATCACATAAATCAATGAAGAATGGAAAATTTTAAATTGCACTTTAAAGAGTAGACTGCAAACTGGGAAACACTGCAGACACATTTTTGATAAAGCATTGAAAATATTATATAAAGCAATAAAAATACAAATGATTCTACTCCTCTAGAAAAACATAACATTAAGTAAATTAGGAATTAAACAGGTATAAATTTGCAGTTAAAAATATGTTCTGTTAATCTTATAGCAAGGTAAATATAACTGTGCTTGACACTGCAGGGTTGATTTATGATTTTGAAAACTTCAGAATGCTGCCAAATTTTGTTTGTAAAGTTTTACTTTAGTGTTCAAAAGCTTGATATTGAATAATTTTTGCAGAACTGTTCGTAAGGATTAACAATTAATTTTAACCTGGGATGCACTCTTTTGAGTCACACGAGCGCGCGCGCTGGTTCTAAAAGACCCTGCTCGTGTTTTTTGAAGAATAAACTGTTACTCTTCAGGTAAAAGTGCTACATTTATGCCAAAATTTTATGATCAAACTTAAAAAAATATGCAAACTATAAAAATTAAAATTTAATTTCATAATATTTTTTATGAAATAAAATATTTTTAAAGAATAGAAAATGTATTATATTAATATAGAATTTATTAGGAATTCATTATGTATATTTAGGTTATTCAGAAATTATTATTCAGGTTATCAGGATATACTGCCTGAAAGAACATCTTCCTCGAGAAGCTTCAAATTTTTCATCAATTGTTATGAATTCACCGACATTGTAATATTTAAGGCAGTTATTCACAAAATCTTCAAAAAATATCTTATAGGTGAACGTTTATCTCTTTCTTGACGACGTGAGTTTCTATGTCATCAAAATGCAAATATTTTGATAAAAAAAAGAAAAGGTTTGTAGGACATATAGTTTTGTCGACAAATTTCCAAGCCGGTTACATGAGATGACTTATGTCACAAAAATAAAGCACGAATTTCAATTAGAGTTGAGTGACAAGCATTTCTCTCTCTTTCAAAGCTGTTAGAAATAATGCAATATAAATACTTTTTTAACTGACGACTTTCAGCAACATTTGTTCACTTAGTAAAAGTTCCCACAATTCATTTGAGTCTACACATATTTTGCCTTACTGATGTTTCCGGACAATTTAGTAATATCTAACATCAGCTTTAGGCGTTTTTTCTTTTTTTCCCATTAGGTGTTTTGTCTTCCAATAAAGAAAGTTATTTCATTTCGTTTTCAGAATGCATCTCGATTCTGAGTCAGTATCATGAGAAATAAAAAATTCATTATAACCTTCATCATCTGTTTCTTCAGTGGAGTCTTCAGCAGCTGATACATCTAATAATTTTTGCAAACATAACATTCCTTCCTTATAGGATAAATTACGCCACTTGTTTGCAGTTTTCCGTGCTACCACAAATGAACTACGCTACAGCAATGCTAATAGGCGTACTGGGTCTGAAAGACCGATCCAATTAAAATGAAACTTCGAATCAAATTTTCAGCAAAAAACTTCAGAAACATAAAGAGGATGGCCTTCGAGGAGACTACACTGAACCACAACCACTTGGGGAAAATAGGTACGTTTTCAGAAAAGTTTCTTTAATCAGGTGAGTCCATTGGACCCAGCCCACGCGCTCGCGGGTTAATCAATGCCTTTTTTTTTTAATGTAGAGCTATATATATATAGATATATATATAATAAGTAAAGTTAAATTAAATTAAATAAGTCTCTTGTGCCATTCCTGCAAGGAATGAAATTTGAATTTTACAAACATTCTCTATTCGGTATAAAACAAATTTAAGTTAATTAAATTTAAATTTTTAAATTATTAAATTTTAACAGCATACAAATAAATAATTAATTATTGCTGCAAACCAATTTACAACATCAATTAAATTCTGAGAGATTATGTAAATTAATTTCAAGATTCTATGGCTAATTGTTTTTTAGTTATGTGAGATATGTACAGACATTACAAAAAAGCACATTTTGAATCCATTTTGGAATAAAGACCCCTTCATTCTGTCTGTATGTACATACAATAAATTAGTCAAAATGAATTTGGGAATGGCCAAAATTGATATTTCTATTGAAATCTGATAACCAACATTTTTTGCAATTACAGTACTTCCTTTGCTTTGCACAATGAAGTGAAAACAGGAAAACCATTTCATATTTCAAACACATTTTATTATGCTTTGCATTCATTAAAAACTGAATTCATAAATACTGCATCTTTTTGTTTACTCATATTTTATAGCAATGGTCTCAAACTTAAATTACATGCAAGTTGAATGAACAAGCTAAAAGCAACGGATGGCCTTTTGTTTCAACAAGATAAATTTTTTTACAAGAATAAAAAAAAAAAAAAAAAAAAAAAGTGACTGAATTCTGGGTTTCACTTACTAAACATATATCAAAGCATGCATAAATAATAATAATAACATATAGAAGGAAAAAATATTTATTTTCTGTCTGAATTCTAAAGTTTGGTACCTGCAAGACATCTGCCAGAAATGTCAATTGGTTACAAACACAATGACAGCTAAATTTTGAGACAGATACTTATTTCAAATAATTCTAATATATTGAACTAACCACTAAATAACTTACTTAAAGAAATTTGGAAAAATTTTTCAGTTTTCAGATAAAACTTAACAATAAATAACGACAACTTAATTTCTTTTATTTATTTATTAAACTTTTTTTCGACACATACAGAAAAAAAAAAAAAAAAATATATATTATATAAATGCTTATAGGTAACTAATTATAAACTTATTTATTTATACAGATTTACAGTTGATGGCATTTCAGTTCTGATAAAATGTTTAACCTTAGAAAACAATTACTGGAAACTATCTTCATAACAGATTTAAAAGCTAATCGATCACTCAGATTCTTTTCTTATAGCAATAATTTTCAACTGCAGAAAACTTTGCTCACTGTACATTCCTATGTAGAAGAGAAGAATTAAATTTTTTTTCTAATTTGTTAATTAGGATGCCAGCTTATATATGTATCCACCAATCTTGAAAAAGGTACAGGCACTTTTCCGTTAGCCGGCTGCAAGTGATGAATAGTTAAATATTGCCCTTTTTTATTTATTTAGTTATGAAAAATATTAATTTTAAACGAAATGAGTTATTTATTTTATGAAAACAAGTTAGTTTATTTCCAAAATTGTTTATAATGTTGTTTTGTTGTGTTGTCACCAAAATGAAAGACTTGATGGAGAAATTTGCACCTGGCTTTCTCAGCTTTGGAACTTGTTTTTCATTTATCGAGAAATGCCAAGCACCCATACTGTTGTTAGAATTTTCAGCAAACCTAATCACATGCAGTTTGAAATCTGCTGTATGAGTTTCTCTTCCCACTCATCTTTCAGACAAAAAATATAGTTGCATAGAAAATAAGATAAATATGTCACAGATCATATACAAGATAACAAATGAATGGAAAAAATGTGCTAGCTTCAAGAAGGGTTACCAGAGTTAAAACTACTGTCATTAGAATCTGGCGTTTTTTTTTTACAATGATTTGATTCAAAAAAATTCCATTAGTTTTATTTACTTGGTAATATTTTTGTCTTCATAGCAACACTGGGCACTACAGGAGTTTGTTTTTTCATTTCGGCTTATATATGGATTTTGAATTTTGAAGAAAAAATGCATTCTTGGCATATACAAGCATCAGCTTATATTCGGAAATATACGGCAGTTCCTAACAAAGTGATTATTTTTTTCCTAAAATTTCTTAATTTAATGATATTTATTTCTTTTCAAGTGTCAATAAAAGTTAATCATATCTACATGTTAAAATCTTTCAGAGTTTTATATCGCACTAAATATTTAGGACCATTTTGTATATTTTCTGCATGTTATTCTTTTTCAATTTTAATGGTGATGAAAATTATGCAAAATCAGATTACAAATCAAGCAGCAGTATAAGTGTCTGAGACACCAGCTCTTCAACACAGGTTGTACAGGTATAGTCCCACCACACTAACTGTGCAGTTCCACATAAACTTGAGGAAGAGCAACCTGGGAATAGTCCAAGGATCTCTTAGCTCTCTTTCCCCTTTAATCACTCAAGAACTTTGGCTAGCCATATATTTTGAATGACAATATAAACAAAGTATTTTAGGAAACCCTAAAATTAGTATTTTCATAAAGTGAAGAAAATTAAAATACATTTACATCAATTACAACAACCAACTCCCCAAATGATTTCATTTTTACATATATTAATTAATAAAAACTATTGAAAGTTTTCACATATATGAATATAATCATGAGTAAATTATTTTAATTTAATAAATTAAATGAGTTCTTCTCCTGTATGTATAATCAGATGATTATTCAAACTTGCAAGCCTTGTAAATCCATTTCCACACTGATAACACTGGAAAGGTCTATCTCGGGAATGGACATCTATGTGATTTTTATAATTGGAGATCTTGTTGCTTGCATATGGACAAAGACTGCAGTAGTATTTGAAAGGAGGAAATTCGGATTTATGATGCCAAACTTTATGTTTTGTTAAGGTAGATGTCGAAGAAAAGGATTTTGAGCAAATATTGCAGACAAATCCTAAAAATAAAAGAAATGATATACTATTGTATAAACTACATGATAGTTACAAAAAAAGCACTTTACAAATTTTTATTTGAGATTAATACAATCCTTTAACAAATTTACGAAAAGCAGAAGTTTTTTGATTATGTTACCCTTTACTCCTCTCTTTTTTAATGCAACATTGTTCTAAAAAAGGCTTCACATTTAATTAGTATTTAATATGAGAAGCACTGAAATATGCATGTTCAGAGTCAGTAGTGAGAAGTACCAAACTGATTGAGTTTTCGTGACTATCTGTATTTGCATTTGTTTCATCAGCAAACTGAGTTAGTAGCCAAGAATTGTAGCTATAGACATCATATTTGAAGTTATAAGTTTGTTTCAAATGCTAATCCTAGCATCATGTTTAAAGACAGTTTTTAGTTTTAGTCTTTAACATAGCTGTAAACACATTTTAGAATTTTATACTCAGCTTCTACTACTAAAATTGCAATTTTTAAATTAATTTACACAGCAGTAAGTTGTAATTTAATTTCTTCTATTATTTTCTAAGTTACAGAAGACTGACTGTTATTCAAATAGCACTTCATACACCAGAAACCTCATAGGACTATCTTCATAAATAAAAATCTATCAATATAAATAATTTTGCCTTTAGCATATAGTAAATGAAGAAAATAGGGAAAAAGCTTATGGAACTGAAAAAATAAATATTAAGTTTTGCTGCTTACAAGTTATTAATCATTTCCTATGATATCAGCATTTAAGGCAATAGAAGCAGTTGTGTGATCAGCCAATTATTTAGCTGGTATGAACTGAGATGGTATTTAATACAGTAAATCAAGAAATTACTTTTCATAAAATAAACACTACAATATGCTATTCACTAGGAAAACCAATTCTAGAGTAGTGAATAATGACCTAAAATAATAACATAGAATAATGTTATTCTACTAAATTTATCTGCTGCTGCAGATGTTTGACAAATATACTTCTGATATGAAATATTTTAAGTGATCTCCTTAATTCATTAAATTTCAATCTCATTAAGCATATGAGAAATTTAATTATAATAAATCTTCTAGTCAGATCTGAAATATTAATTAGACTGCATGCAAATTAGTTAGAGATTTATAAACAAACAAACAGAATCAACAGAATCAGTGCTACACTGAGTGAAAACTGTACTACTTACTACTAAGGTATGAAAATACATACCTTAGTGGTAAGGTATGCATTTTACATACAGGTTAAAGGTATGTAAAATACAGACGCAAAAAATATAACGCAAAATTATCCACAGAAATCTTAATTAAACTGTTATTGCTAACATGGTCTGTTTGTGGGGTAAAAATGTCATATCATTATTTCAAAATAAAATGAATTCAATGAATATACAGAAAAAGGATCCAATCTAAAAAGAAATCACTATCACAATATTTCTTTTCTCACATGCTTTAAAAGATACACATCAAATTTCTTTTATTCTGTAGAAACAAAACTAAGCTATTTATTTGATTGCAGCAAAGTACCTGACAGAAATTTCAAATCAATTGCATCTGAAATAAGTTGGTGATGAAAGTCAAAAGCAATCAATAAACATTTTCAGTATTTTACAGGAGTACTTGAAATATTCATACACCAAATAAATACAGCCAATAATATTTAAAAATAAAACACAAATTTCAAGGTATATTTATTAGATGTTACCACATTGTACGCAAAATGGGAATTTCATCAAGAATAAGGATTTGATCACATTTAGTTCAGAAATGGAGTTTT